GCACACCGGGACGAGCGGCAACAGAAGCGCGTCCGCACTGTAACGGCATGGCAGCGGCGGTCGCCGTGCACACTCAGCAAAACAACACCTCTATATTCAGCACTTTTTAAAAAAGGAAATTCAGTTTTGATTTCGATCAAGCTGACTCACCAGAAGTCAAACCGGCGCCTTTCGCCCACCGCACCGTCGAAGGTTAGGGTTCGCCGATGGTCGGTCGACCCGGTGTGGAGAGAGACAGTTAGAGAAATGTTGTTTTTTTTCCGCTCACGCCTTCTCGCAGCTCTCTAGATATATCCACTCCTTCCTCGCTTGTTTTAGTCTATGGTCGGAGGCGCCAGACGTCAAATGATGTTTGGATCACATGGTTTCATTCATGAAGGATCAACGCAACCCGCATTTAAAGAGACATGAGACACTACTACTGAGTGATGGACTGTTGTTACAAGACAGCCCCTCCTCCACGCAAATGTCTAAACTTAGAGCCAACATTTGAAGCGCTGATTGGCTGCAACAGTAGTACAGAGTGATGGAATAAAAAATAAAACATCTGATGCTGTCACTCCCATTGATTCACTGCCCATCAGCTTTGGGAAATGTACACATTTGATAAGTTAATATGACAGCACAGTTTAAGATAATATGGTCTGCATTTAAACACCATTTAAAGTTATTTAACTTTTTGTGATTTCACGAGAAACTTTCAAATTGGGCTACATGCTATTTAAAAATGGAAAACAGAGAAACTCAAATCAATTAAAAAATAAAAGCTACCCAAAACCTCTAAATGACACGTAGATTTATATCATTGCTGTACTTCCTCTAAAAGCCGGATGTGATATGGCAATATTAAACCTTGACTCAGGTTCCAGAGAACACATCTTGCATTTTCACAAAAAAAACAGCACAATAGATATTCAGTTTTTCTTGTGGCCATGAAATTGTAAAGAATTTTAATTTAGGAACCGTGTAAAGTATGACAGTGGGAGATCACAGTACAGTTTTCATAGGGTTAATATGCACTAATATGAAGCCATCTCCAGTTTTCAGTGTGTGGTTGACTGCTCCAGTCTGAGGCTAAATGAAAGCCATAAACCTCTATACACTGAACATACATCATACTCCATCCATCCTCAATTACAGTACAATTTAAAACAAAACAAAACAATTAGGACTGACGTACTGTTCATCAATACTCCATTTCCATTTCTCAAGGCACTAACGACTCTCGATACAGGACAAGAATGCACTCAATCAATATTAGCTTTCCAGATAATGCTTCTCAGTTGATAAAATATAGCCGGTATTACATATTCAGCAACTGATGTCTTCACTTGGGCGTTCACAGGCCTTCTGGAAAGTGAAGACGTGTTCAAAGTAAGATATACTTTGAAATATCACTTAGATTTGGTTTGGTGTTGTTGAGAAATGTCTCATGTTTAACTCAAATGAAATCATACAGCCTGTTGTAGGATGAGGTAAAATATTGTGCTTTTAGAAACTATTCGCATTTTTTCATCTGTAGGAGCTCGAGATGTTTTACCAGCGAAGACGTGATATGAGGAAGATGTGTTATTTTATGGGATAAAAACTACTTATAAGTAGTTAGAATTAGACCAACAGAGGCTCTGCTGGAAAATAAGTGCTGCATTTAAATGAGATTTTGAGGTACTTCTGACTATATGAAAATATTGTAGTCTTTACGCTCAACTATTCAGATAATTTGCAGATTTGAAGATTTTTTCATTCAAAGAATGAAATCAAAATGTATTACTTTCTTAATGTAGTACATACACCGATCAGTCATAACATTGTGAGCACTGACAGGTGAAGTTAATGACACTGATTATCTGGTTATCATGGCTNCTGTCAGTGGGTGGGATATATCAGACCGCAAATGAACATTTTGTCCTCAAATTGATGTGTTAGAAGCAGGAAAAAAGGGAGCGTGAGGATTTGAGCGACTTTGACTTTGACGACTGGGTCAGAGCATCTC